ATGTAAGAGGTGTTCGCAAATTGCAATTTTAATCCTTCAACTAGTATAGAGTTGATCTTTCCTCAGCGAAAAGCAGCGTAATAGTAGGTCGTCAAGATTTTAATTAAAAATTTTATTACGAATTTATAATGCTAAGAGTTAGAAAGTAAAGTAGCTGCTAATGACAACCTCCTTGGACACTTTAATCAATGAAAAATTTGAATTTAAATTAGCCAGAGGCTGTAATTAAAAAGACATCCGGTAATTTCGGGACACTGCACAGAACATATACCTTGGTTAATTATAATGACAATTCATTAGAGGAAAATGATGAATATTCCAGTATGGTTAAATTTGGTCAAGTTTGCGATGCACAGGTATTAATATTCATCAGTCAGTCCTAACGCTGCAGGAAGAGAGTATCGTATTGAATGCGCATTGTGAACGTCTATCGGTTCTAACGCAAATTCCGCCGTAAGCGAGAAGGTCTACAACCTTCGTTCCTATTTAAGAGGCCTTTCCTTGATCCGTGCGCGGAATAACCGGTCCGTGCTCGGGTCCACCTACGAGGTCAAGTCCAACTCGCAACATCTCTCGCGTACAGAGGCGTATTCTCCAGAGCAAGTACATGTCTAATATAAAATATGAATACACGCATTCTGGTTGATGAATCGAACGAAACGGGGTGAACGCTTTTGCTTTTCATGGTGAAAGGCTGCTCTTCTGATAATTTTTTTTTCGAATATCTTTCCCTATCTTCTTCTTCCTGCGGTAACGTTCAAAATAGTTCGAGCTCATTAAGAAGCGCTTCTACCATATGTCGTGGGCGTTAGTGTGGGAAAATGAGTAATTGATTAGACTTACCTATGCTTAGCTCATCTGACCTCGTACCTGACATTTCAAGTAATATAGAACTTTCTTCATCAGAACGAAATAGAAACTTTCAATTTTTCTTTCAGAGAAATGCATTTAATTTTGTAAAATTACGTATCGCTTATCTTACTCGAATATATATAACATAATAACTATTGGTTTTGTAATGTTATAGACAATATGGACTCGTAGATGATTGCTAGAGATAACAATTTATTACGTAATAATACAATAAATATTTAAAAAGATACAGAGTTTGTCTCACAAATCGTAGTTAATATACATAAAAATTTTGAGCAATTGTATAAAATATTATACTATATATTAATGAATAATCGATAAATTTCAATATTTTGATATCGCACATAATTTGATGTACAGTCAATTCCAGTACATAACAAATTTCAACAGAGAGAGTTAAATAAAATTTGTTTAAATAAAAATTTTTTAATTACAAGTTAAAATATATAATTATAAATATAAGTATGCTCTTTATAATTTTTATTGCAATATATATATTTTTTACACATCAAATATATCTCGAGAATATTGCTATTCTAATTTTAAAATATTATGTATGTACATTAAAGTTTTGATATCTCATATGTCTTCAACTGTACTGATATATATGTATAAATTTAACACAAAATTCTTTATTAAATAACGATTTTACATGTTAAATTTCGGCTAATTTTTAAGCCCTTTTCAGATATACATTTAAAACTGTATTTACAATATTAAAAATTATAATTGCATCATCCGAAGCGCCTACAGATATGCGCTCCGTCCGTGATCACTTATGAAAGACACACACTATACTCATTTCAACTTTTTTTAAATTTCATATTACATGAAATAAGTATCTGGACGCCATATTGGGTCAGCCATTTTGAATTTTATACTTTTGATATAAGATTTATAGCGTTTTCTCTTGGCTGCACTATAACCTCGCGCGAACTCCTCAGTCAAGGCATATTTGTCCCTGTCCGCCGGGCGATGAGGATTTGCGGGAACACTCGTTGGAGACGTTTGAACAGTCTAGTGACCAGGATGCTAATGGTGGCAAATTCTCTGACCGTCGTCCAATGAAATCCTATAATAATCTGCTATATTCTCTCCTATATGTGCATCTAATGGCAGACTTCCTGAGTCTCTCCTCTTCCTATTACCCCTCTTCCCATTTCCTCTGCTCCCTTATCCTCTAATTCTTCCTCTCCCTCGCCCCCTTCCTTCCACCGCTTCTGCGTACCCCCTAACTCCACCTCTTCTTTACCCCCCCTACCTCCACTTCTTCTTTACCCCCATTTCCTCTATAACTCTCTCAATCATATACAGTCTTATATACAAATCTTGCAATTGACAATCTCGTTCTTTCTTAAAAAAAAAAATTCTTATAATTCTAATATCTCAGATGTGTAATTGAATTCAAATTTTGATAGCAGATTCTTTAATAGCCTCAGTGCTCTACAAGCTCTCATCAGCACATAATGAGTGATTTGCGTTCTCTTCGGATACTTTTTTGGAATTGAATAATGTAGATATTATGGCTCAATAAATTAAAAATTAAATATAATATAAAGGCTACGAGCCAAAAACATATATGTATATTTAAATTAATAACAAAAGAATATAATAAATTAAATAAATACATCGAGATATTATAATCGAAAAGGTGTTATAAACAATTATTATAAAAACAAAAGATTGATAAACAGACGTTTCGATCTCGCTTGGGTCATCCTCAATGTTAAAACGTATAAATTTAAATGATAATTAGCGAACCTTATAAAAAATAATGAAGTTACTTGTTGCACCATTCCTAACTTCATCATATATGAGATGTCAGCGATGTTGCTGATTATTGACATTGCAATAGTAGTTTTATTTTCCACAATTGAAAGATGAAAATCAACCTAGGTTACTTTCATTACTATGGACGAAATATGGATCCATAATTACTTCACACCCGAAACGAAGGACCAGTCAAAACAATATATGGACTTCATCGGGTGAACCAGCTCCGAAGGAGGCGAAGACCGTGAAGTCGGCCGAAAAGGTGATGGCCACAGTTTTTGGGATGCATGCGTTATAATTCATATCGATCATCTTCTGTCGAAGCAAACTAATTAATAGTGATTACTAGGGGGAGCCTTATTGAATCGTTTCAATAACATTTTAACGAAAAAACGTCCCCATTTATCCTCGTTAAACATGGGTGAACAACAAGGATAAGACGATACACGGGGGTACTCGGGTGATGTTTCCGAACGCAGCCTTGGTGAAGAAGAAAGTGCTCTTCCATCAAGATAATGCACGTGTTCACACGTGCTCGGCACCGATGCGGCCAAATTCAATGAATTCCGCTACGAATTGCTTCCCCATCCAACATATATTCGCCAGATTTAGTCATCTGCAACTATTTCCTGTTTCCAAACTTGAAGAAATGGTTCGGAGAAAAGAGATTCACCACCAGAGAACAGCTCATCCCCGAAACAGAAGCTTATTATTTTGAAGGGTTGGATAAATCATATTATTCGGACGGCTTGAAAAAGTCGGAGAATTATTGGATCAAGTGTATCGAGCTGAAAGGAGACTACGTTGAGAAATAAAAATAAATCGATTAAAAAAAATGTGTTTTACTATGTTTTTCTAAAAACTTATTGACTTGCCCTCGTAAAAAAATAAAAGATGAAAAAGACATGAATGTGAAACGAAAGAATGACATAAGGGTATTATCGCATGGAGGAGGAAGAGGAGAGGATTGTATCGTAAAAATATCCTTCCTATGTACGATATATAAAGTACAGGCAAGAAGAAAATAGTTAGAGGAATAGATGGATGTATTTATAAGAATTAGACCAGAAAATGTGGTTAAGGAATATAATGTTGATAGATGAGTGGAGGTTAGTTGAGTAAATTAAGATAAAGAAAAGAGAAAAAAAGAATGTGTGAGGACAGGTTGATAAATTGTAAACCAAATCCCCTTCTTAGGCTATGTGTGCTCTTGAAGATAATAAAGTTCTTCATTATTATCAGACTGGTAATTATTTAGAATACACTCGTCACCTCCGATTTTGATAAAATTAGGCTTATTCGATACATTTTTGCACAAAACGAAAGAATCTGTAAGAAAAAACCTTAGGACGGCCCTGCCAATCGAGATATTAAACATTATGCTGATTCTACAATGAGTCGGTAGTCAGTGTACTGTCAGTAGTCCTAAAAATCTTATCGGTAAAATTGACCAGTAGTATAGCTACACCGATTCTAAATCAGGTCCTCTGAGGGGGATGAGGGGCGAGGGAGTATGACGACACGGATGCGGGCGAGGGGATATGACATCACGGGGAGGGGAGAGGGGTGACGTCACAGGGTGAGGGGTAAACGTCATAGAGGGAGGGGAGAAGGTGACGTTACAGATTACGACGTCACTAGGCGAGGGATACAACGTCTCGGGAAGGGGATGTCATTACAGGGTGAAGGGGAGAGGAGAAAATTACGGGGCTCGCGAAGGTGTGGTTGCCACGGTGTATTACGTCACGCGGGGGTTAGTAGCCGCCGGGTGTGGTCCTTCCGGATGCTACACTTACTGTGTATACTTGCTATCCCTCTTCCTCTTATACGCCGTCATTTTCTTCCCCTTATGCGACTATATTTCACATCTTTGTTCCAACAATTATTTTATTTTATAATTTGCTTAAATAATGATAAGGTCGTACGCAAAAAGATATTTCTTATCCTATAGAAGTAATTATTTTTAACAGAATTATTTTATTCTACCGAACGCTTACTACGAGCAATGACGCCGTCGCAGCGTGATGTAACGTAATACGCTGAGATAGGAAGGAAGAAAGGAAACAAATAATGACAAATACTGAGATATATAGAATATTAGTATTATTACAATATTTGTAGGACCGTTAGTATTCAAACAATGATTAAATAAAGGCCGAATGACGGTCAAGCAAGATTTAGATTGCTACAGTAATGTGTAAATTTTATTTACCACGTATGTAGTTTTCTTTAATCGCGCGCCGAAATATTTTCAGACTTTTTACAAACGCAATTAGTATTATATTTAATTAATATTTAAGACATATATTTGTGTGTGTGTGTGTTTTATTTAATATAATAATAATATAATACATAATATAATTGATTAATAATAATTCCTCCGTAATTTCTGAAAAAGGAAATAAAAGATACATTAATACGTGGTACAAAGGGGTTTACCAAATATAAATATAAACATAAATTTAAATATAAATTTAAATATGCATACAGTTTCAGTCCTCTGGTTTAGTATCCACCTCGTAGGGCTGTAAATCAAATAGCTCCGGGAGGTGCATATTTTCCTTCCACATGAGGAACATTTTCTTCCTGTAGCATCGCCGTTGCTTTCTAATTATGCTACGCAACTTGTGGCTGAAAAACCCTTGTATTTTAACGAAACATGGCGATTTTTCCTGAAAAAAGTAAATATTTTGAAAAAAAATGTACATTGTGTGTATAATTTATGTATAATTTGTAGTTAACTTACAAACTGGATAATTTTCAGCACTCGTCCAGACTCGTCTTTTATTTCTAGGTAGGGTTCATCATGTTTCACCATCTGCACCACTCGTCCAAACTTGTCTTTCATTTCCAGGTAGGAGTTCTTATTCATCATCAGGTGCTGAAAATAAAAAGTGAAAACGATAAAAGGTTACTAAGTCTGCATTAAATATATTAAATATATTAAATAAATATTAATATATAATTTAACGGATAACGGGCTGAAATAACAATACTACGCAATTAGGAAGAAAAACAAAGAAGAATATATTTAAATTAATGACAAATAAACAGACGTTTCGACACCGATTGTGTCAATCTCAATGTTAACAAATTATTAAAATATTAACGGAAATTTAACACATAATAAGAATATTAACGGAATTTTAACAAAGAATCATAATCTTAAATAAGTTTTTTAACATTATGTTGATTGTTAGGATGCTTGCCAAATATAGTCAAGGCCGAATTAAAGTTGTCCATTATTCAAAAGTCGTTAAGTAATCAAAAGTCGTAAAATTTAGGAACCAACATAACGGTGCAACAAATAACCGATCGGTGTCGAAACATCTGTTTATTTATCATTAATTTAAATATATCTGTTTTTCTTCTTAAGGCTCCTGAATACTCAGCCAAGAACTCCGTGTTGATGGGTAGCGACACCGAATCAGTCGGTGGCTAGCAAAACTGGTAGTACGCTACTGGTTATACACACAATTGCAAGCTCATGTTCGTGTGCTCATTTTCGGGTAGAAGGGAAGCGCACAGACATGGGTTCATGCTTGTGTGTGTGTATAACGCCTCGCCATGGTAAAAGTCTGAACTAATAGGCGTGAAAAAGTGATGTTTTGACGACAAATTTTTTCTTGCGTGCCATTTTGTCAATATTTGCTTATTATTTGTGAAAATGTGATTTCCCTCGTACTCGTGAAAGTCCTAAAAATTGGCGGAAACTGCAGTTATCGTGAAATTTTATACGTAAAAGCGTATATTTCACTCGTTTCATCAGCTGTTAAACTGTGTGATTCTGCCCGAAAATAGGCTCACTTTACGTGTCTTTTACGACCATTTACTGACTATCAGAAGAGGAAAGGACAGTTTCCGGCAATTTTCACAAGTGTTTTTGAGCGATCTCGCCTTTTAAATTTATCCAAATTGTCTTTATTAAAAAATGGGACGCAAGAAAAATTAATGTGTTTTTCTCGCCTATGACGTCACAATTCCAACATGGCCGTCGCCGGTATTCAGGAGCCTTAATTGTAATATTTTTATTTCGGCTCGTTGCCCGTTAAATTATATTAATATTTATTTATTATTATCGAGCCTCCTCTTAACCTTATATTTTTTTAAATGTATTAGAAAAGAGCCCCGAACTGGTTACACATGCACTTTTAATATGTTATGCAGATTTGCCACTGTGTCTCTCTTTGATAGAATAACAGATTGACTGACGGATTGATGAGAAATCATAATAAAGTTGTTAATACTGAACGTTAGAAAGAAACATACAATATAACGAACCTGAAGTCATATCACAGGTAGAATACACTATGTGAATTAACTTTATAATAAACGTACATAAAAATGAAGAAATATTTTTCTTTTACATCATTTATGCTTCTTTCTAATGTTTAGTACTAAGAAATTTATTATGATTTCTCTTTCTTGATAATGGTATCTGAACGGTATGTGTACATTGATGTTCTCTAAAATATTTTAACATATAATATTTTATTATTGAAAGATAATGCAATGAAAGTGAATATCTATTTATTCCAATGTCAAAATATTACATACATATAATCAAATATGCTAATAAATGTAATAAATTTTTTTGGTATAATGTTATTCCGAAATTGATTATCAGAACAACCCTTCGTCACGATATTATTAATTAGAATAATAATTTGTAAATTTATACTTACGAAGATATACGTGATTGAAAACTACTTAACTTACACTCCAAAATCTTGAATCAAATATAGTGTTCTAGGTGAGAGATCAAACTATAACAGTTTTTTATATTATTATTGAAAGATAATGAAATGGAAATAAATATGTATATAAAAAATACTATTATACATATTACCATGAAAAATGACTCTTATATTATTGAATCTGCCAGTTCAAAGTAAACATACATAAAGTGTATATTCTTTTGTTGTATATATACGTAATAATAATGATTTAACATTACTATTATAAACATCTAGTGTGCATGTGTTGTTAAATCATTAATACGTATATATGCAACAAAAGGATATACATTTTATGAATATTCACTTTTGAACTGGCACCTTCAATAATATATTAGTTTGTTTTCTAACGTCAAAATTGTCGGTTGCATTTTACCTTCAGAATTTAATGTACTTTTTATTGTAATGTACTACTGCGTTGCTGTCAACTATTTTGAGACCACTCTTATTTAGGGCAACATTATTGTCGACAAGCTTTGCATTAGTCACATCCAAGATTATAGCACTCTGGCATCAAGAACTTTCAATATACTCGGATCTAATATATCTTTATATTATTATCGTTTAATATATACTGACATTGTATTTTGCGGCAATTCTCCCATGATCGTGTAGTATCTTTATGGTCTTTCCTCCTCCCAATTGAAGACCATTTTGATAAATCACTCCTTTGTGTACCTGCAAAATATATAAATAATTTAAATAATTTCAATCATTTTTTTCAAAAATTACGTTTATTAGCGTATTTGATTATATGTAATAGATTTTGACATTGGAATTAATACATTTTATTATTGAAAGATAATGCAATGAAAGTGAATATGTATTTATTCCAATGTCAAAATATTACGTACCTATACCATAATCAAATAAGTCTAATAAACGTAATAAATTTTTTTGGTATAATGTTATTACGAAATTGATTATCAGAACAATCCTTTTTCACGATTTTAATTATTAATTAGAATAATAATTTGTAAACGTATACTTATGAAGATATACGTGATTGAAAACTAGTTAACTTACACTCCAAAATCTTGAATCAAAAATATAGTGTTCTAGGTGAGAGATTAAACTATAACAGTTTTTTACATTTTAAAAATAAATCACAAAAGATCAATATTAATTTTAAAAGAATTCTTATACCTAATTGTCTATTTTAACGTAATACATTTTATTACTGAAAGATAATGAAATGGTACATATTACCATGAAAAATGACTCATATATTATTGAAGGTGCCAGTTCAAAGTAAACATACATAAAATAAAGTGTATATTCTTTTGTTGCATATATACGTAATGATTTAACGTTACTATTACAAACAACTAGTGTGCATGTGTTGTTAAATCATTATTACGTATATATGCAACAAATGGCGATATACATTTTATGAATGTTCACTTTGAACTGGCACAATAATATATCAGTTACTTTCCATGATAATATATTTCATTATTAGATAATTAGATATTTATTTAAAGATTTCAATACTAAAACCAAGTAATTTTATGTTTTGATTAACTGTATCAAATAAGTTTTATCTTTATTATTATAAAAGAATTGATTCTTTGTGCTGTATTTTATCATCAGATTTATTGAAGGGAAAGTCCTGAAAAGAAAAGGTAAGGATCTTTTAAATCCATACCTTTTTTTCTTTTCAGACTTTTCCTATCAACGAAGTACAAAGAATCAATTCTTTTACAATAATATCGGACGAACACCACTATTGTTAGGTTTTGATATTAAGTAGGCAAGAGAGTGGGACCATTGGCTAGGAAAAACAGAACACGAAAGGTAAATGGATTAAAAGTTTGGAGAGGAGAGCTTTGAGTAAGCGATAATCGATTCTATCAAGAATCGACCCAGACTGGAAGAAGATTTAACGGATTAAAGTGCTAATTGGAGTTCGTTCATAGAGAAGGGAGAATCGAGCCAGAAAAGATTGCTCTGAAATAGCAGAGAAATCTCGGCAGAAGGAGAAGGACAAAGTTTGTCAATAGCATCCTGAATAACTTTGTAACAACCTGATTTTATGCTCGGACTAGGTCGTCGGTACAAAATGCGTGTCGCACAAAAAAAGGTTCGGCAGGAGGAGTATTCGCGTCAGATCGGTGTTTCGGAAATAGTAAAAAAGAAACAGTGTAAAAGAATAGTTGAGTACAACGAACACGATTTATTATAACAATAAAATAGAATAGAAATGATATAATAATACAGAACAGAAGACTGAAATAAAATGAAAACGATACAATACGGAACGCGAGTAGTAGATATACCGACAAATAGTATAACGAACGCGGATAGTACAGTAATACTTAATTCTAATTTCGCGAAGTATTTATAAACGAATCGCGAGATGTCAGCAGGTACCGGGTCGAGCGAAATCGTGGCGGTCCTACTGACGTCGTGAGTTTTTCGGCTGCTCGCTGATTTACGGTAATGCCGGCGCGAGCTGTACGAGGTGGCGTTTGACAATACGGTGGAACGCGGGTATACGCCAACAAATAAGATTTCGCGGCGCGACGCGTAATTCGAAGATGGTTGAGATTAGAAAATGGATCCGATAATTGACGGCCGGGAACGCTCGATGGAGGCAGAGAGCGCCCTACCCCTTTTCAATTATCGGGAAGGAAAATACGGGATGCGGAAAAGAATAAACGAAAGATTGTGGAAGCAGTTACAGCGGTTGTCCGGCGGCCGAGAACGCCCGGCAGAGGCAGAGTACACTCTACCCCTCAGGTTCGTCGGAACAACACGTTGCGTGAAGTCGCGATTCGCGTGCCAGGGGCCGAAGCGTTTACGTTGTCCGGCGGCCGAGAACGCCCGGCAGAGGCAGAGTACGCCCTACCCCTCAGGTTCGTCGGAACAAGCGTGTTCGCAGGTCTGGCAACGGAATCGAGTGCCTGGAATTCGTATCGTTGACAGTTCGTCCGGCGGCCGAGAACACCCAGGCAGAGGCAGAGTACGCCCTACCCCTCAGGTTCGTCGGAACGAGCGAGTCTCAGCGACGGCTTTGGAGCACTGGATCGTGTTTTAGGAGCAGGAAAATCGGCAAAAATGGTCCCGACGTCTTGTCGACGCGATATTTTATACTAGACCGCCAGTCTCGCTCGTTTAGTTCCGATCGGTCTCGATATTTTCCGCCGATCGGCGGTCCCCGGCGGCGGCCGGAATTTCCCGACAAGACTGGCGGTATAACGGTGGTTGCTGTCCCTGCGAATTATTCTTAGTAATTAGTATATGCGCGAGCGCATTGCGCCCTTATTACCACTGGCACCATAATGACGATGCATTTTAGGGGAGCATCGTTACAACCTCAGAGTTCTCAAAGTTTCTGTTGAGTGTTAGAATTAGCAGGAATGAGACGGCGATTACGAAAGCATTTAAGCATATGCTAGATTTCTACGGTGGGAGTCATGCAATCAAGAGAACCGTAAAAAGCTTTCTAATCATTACGCTTAGTCCTGCGAAGAATCTTGCGACTCTGACAGACCACCGAACGATAGAAAACATAGTTATCAAAGAAAGGATTCAGCTTGAAGACTTTGAGAGCGTTACTACGGTTCTTGACAGCTTCGGTATCCAAAAAGGGGCCGGTGAGAAGCCCTTATAAGTGGAAGACGCACGAGGGGATCGGGTACCACTAGGAGGCTTCGAGGAAGAAAACCGCTCGTAACTGAAGGAGATGACTTCCAGGAAAGTATTATATTGAATGATAGGATCGTCAGAGTGAATTAAATTAATAGTTTGAGAGATGGTGTTGGAATTATCGCATAAATATTGCTTGACTTCAGCCCATTGGGCTTTAGAGAGCTTAATCTTATAAGAAAAAACAGTAGATATTTTGACTACGCAATTCATACGACCTCAAGGGAATGAAAGGGAAGGCAGTAAGAGGAGGAGGAGAGACTAGGAAGTCTGCTATAAAGTGCATATAGGAGAAAATTGTAGGATTTATGCAGATTATTATAGGATTTCATTGGACGACGGTCAGAGAATTTGCCGCCATTAGCATCCCGGTTACTAGACTGTTCAAACATCTCCGACAAGTGTTCCCGCAAATTCTCATCGCGCTGTGGACAGGGACAAATATGTCTCGACTGTGGAGGAGTTCGCGCGAGATCGGCGTGAGAGCAAAAGACCTCGCGCCGTGAATCAGCAAATTCAGGGATATTACCAATAACATCTTGGGAATTAAGATCATGGTAGCTTGAAGTGTACGAGTAATCTTTGGAAGTGCGGGAAAGTTCATATGATGAAAAGGGTTAGGGGGAAGGAAACTGAAGGAGAGGGAGCCCCGAATCTGAGACGTGCCTCAGAGTAAGAGATTTTCAATAGCAGCGTAAGCGTAAATTTGTTTGTGGCGTACATAAGTGGGCACACCAAGGAAGAAGGTAAATGTTCCTCCCTACTGCAGCAGATCGGAGGTAAAAGGGTTGCCGCAGCGCGCACAACACGGCTTACTCTTGCAATTCACACTAACGTGACCGTAACGTAAACAAGAAAAACACAATAAGTATCTTTGGAAAATAAAGTAGAACCGGGAAATTAATGTGTAAAAAGGTACACGTTACCGATCGTGGTAAAGATTGACCGCGAAATTTCATCATCACCGTTCACGAGGGTGAGATAATCAATTCACCATCTTTGCGTGCCCTGATACTCAGACGTTTTGGCGAAATGATCTTATATGGCGAGTTAAAGCAGTTGACGATATCGCTTTCTGAAATATCCAGGGGGACATTCCTAATCACACCAGTACACGAAAAGCCGGGATAAAGGCTGAGAGGCCGTTACCTTTAAGCAACGGATGCGTAAGGATACTATTCGCTGCAACACGATCATTAAAATGTACAACGACTTCATTACAGCCTGATGATTTAACTTCTATAATTTTACCGTTGGCGATACTCATCATTACGCGCACAACCGTAATCAAATCAAGTCAAGAATCCCCGCCATTACTTTCCGCAATACGTCCCACGAAAATAACAAAGGGAGAGAGATCCCCCCCTCATCACAGGTTACACTCACATCATTTGAATTAGAATTATTCGTATGTAATGTAGTAGGCGTAACCTTCGCCGGGGTTTCCCCAGCTGCTGGCTCCCCATCGCGGAGACATTTCTTAGAGATAGACACTTCATCGACGCGAGAAGTAGTTCCCACAATCAGACGATCGCCGCGGGGCGGAACATCGGCCAAGAGGGGAAGAGGATTCTAGCATTGTAAAGAGGTCGAACGATCCTCGCAGACTGCGATGCTTATCTCTATATTTTCATCCTCATGTATCGAAGAAACATCGGATTCCGGAAATGAATCTTCACCGGAGATCGTGATCGAGAACGGGTCAACTCAGATACAGAGACCGTAGGGGGGAAGTTCGCGCGAACATCGCGTTTCCTTCCCTTTCTTTACTTTTTTCTTCTTTATGTTGTCAGACTTAACGAGATCACCGTTATTTACTAATAATGAAGGTGATGCAACAGGCGAAGCCCTTTTCATGTAACTGACAGCCAGGGATGGCTTTCCGTTTGAAAGCGAGTTCTCTTTAAATCGTTGTTATTATCGATACTCACACGTTTGGAAAAACTATCAAAGTCCTCCAGAGAAGCCGAGAGACGATTGCTGATCGATACTGAGCCACCGCCGGGATCCGGCGTGGCGGGGACATT